TATGTTTTTTTTTTTTTTTCAGCAAATAATTTCTGAGTTGTTGTTGTTTGTTTATTTTTGTTTCTTACATCCCTTTCCTTGAGCAGATGATCTAGCCCTTCTTTGGCTGCCTAACACAAGCAGAATGGCTCTTTGTGGAAATGAAAAATAAGGAAGAAAAATTCACAATTTTTTCCCATGGAAGGTTAAATAAAAAACTGTATTACAAACAAACATCCGGTTTCATCAACACTCTTTAATAGATTCATTCACCATTATTCATTCAAACAATTATTTATCAAGTACCCAGACAATGATTTTGTGTTAACAACAAAAATCTCTACTTTCACAAGGCTTACATCTGAGAAGMTGAAGGCTTCAGCTAGGTTAAATATCCTATGGCCAAAATCTTGGCATAGATGGGCTGACAGCAAGTTATAAGTTCCTCTTCTTTATCCTCCTCCTCTTAGTATAGGACTAAACTAAGCCTGTTAGCCTCCAGGTCCACTCCTGTACTACACAGCTGATGGACAGATTTACTTAGAACAAGGAGAGTTTTCAAGCATTATCATCAATGTTATCTCTATACCTTTACTCCCAAATATTTTCTAGCTCTCTTTTGAGAAAGACCTTCTGTCTGCTAGACCTCTTCTTTTTTTCTGAGTGTTCTTTGGATTAAACCCAAGGGCTCTCTATCACTGAGCCACATCCCAGCCCTTTTTACATTTTATTTTCTGTCAGGGTCTCACTAAATTGCAAGGCTGGTCTAGAATTTGTAGACCACCCTCCTACACCAATCATAAGGATTACAGGTGAGTGACACTGCACTTGGACACTAGACCTCTTCAGGGCCATATACTGCTATTATTTTAAACTCAAGATACATGTGGTCCATATCCATAATCCCAGCAGTTTGGGAGGTTGAGGCAGGAGGATTGGGAGTTCAAAGCCAGCCTCAGCATAAGCAAGGACGATAAGCAACTCAGTGAGACCCTGTCTCCAAATAAAATACAAAAAAAGGGCTGGGGATATGGCTCAGTGGTTAAATACTCTTGGGTTCAATTTCCAGTACCAGGGCTAGGGTTGTGGCTCAGTGGTAGAGCGCTTGCCTAGCACGTGCAAGGCTCTGGGTTTGATCCTCAGCACCACATAAAAACAAATAAATAAAGATATTGTGTCCAACTATAACTAAAAAATAAATATTAAAAAAAACACACCACCTTAAGATACCTACATAAATCCAAATAAATTCCTCCCCCAACATTCCTGTCTCTAATAATAGTAACACCTGCTTCCTAATTATCTTGGCTCAAAATTTCAGCAAAAGCTTTGACTCATCCTTCTTAATCCTAACATACATGTGGTCTGCAAATTATGGTAGATTGCACCCCTGTAACATTTTTCAATTCTATTTTAACTACTTTACCCCATCTAGGTTTCCTTTGGCTTTCAAGGAAATTCTTGGCCTTCTTATTGGTCTCCACTCTAGCTGTCAGGATATTACCACCTTCTTGGCCAAAAGATTTCCAAARCAAATTTTCATCATTATCATTCCTCTGTTAAAAACCTTTAGTCCCTATTTATACTGAAATTAAGTACAATACTGCAGCCCAACATTCCAGGAGCCTCATCAAATGGCTCCAACCTATTTTTTTACCTTTGTCTCCTATGATTCTTTATCCATCTCAAATATTTTAGCAAAATCAAACTAGATTATTATTTTTCATGTATTCTTTCTTCTAAGAACATTTCAAATGCAACTTCTTTCATGAAACAATTTGTTATGTTCAAATTATATAAAATGTCTCCCTTTTTCAATCCCAGGTGATAATAATATGTAGTTTGAAATGCTTATCTATTTTGCCTTGTGATATAGTTATCTGGCTACTTGGCTTATCTGCCAGCTTTTTGAGTACAAGCACTCCATACTTGGTATCTGTAGGATAGGCTTTCACATAGCAGGTCCTCAGCTCAGATTTACTGAGTCAAAGTTGCTGAGAAAAGGTTAGCTGTCTCTGAAGTAAACATCTTGCCCATCTCTATCAAGGAAAGATTTCATTTTCTTCTGTTGCTGATTTAAAAACCTGAAGAGAATTAGTCTGGAGAAAAAAACTGTTTTCAATTCTTAAAGTAATAAAGGGACATGTTTGGCTGCAAACACTCTCTCCCAAAAAAAGAAAGAAAAAGAAGACCCTGAAGTTGGAAGTAATGAAACCACAACATAAGACAATGAAAAAGTTGAACAGACACTAGAAATCCATTTACCCTAGTGAAGAAAGACTTTTACCTAGCAAGGACTTGGAATTCTGCTGGGAGGGAGGTGTAAAATTTGCACTAATGTGGGGAATTCCAATTCCATAGCAGCTATGGAATAACTAAAAATTGTGAAAGAAGGGGGAGGAAAAACAAACAAACAAACAACAACAACAACAACAAAAAACCCAACCAACCAAACAAAAAACCCCAACTAACCAAAGAGAAGACTTTCAAGAGTCAACTCTTCAAAAATAAGCTATTGACTGACAAATGAGATTCTCCTAAATAATTATATACAACGATGATTCTACTTTCTTTAATAGTAGACCTAAAATTTACTGTGTTAAAACCTTTCTATACTGGCAATTCAGATTTTCAACTACTGCTTTTCCCCATCCTTTTAAAATCAACTCAAAACAACAGCAATGATTATGAATTCACTGAAACAGAAAAGATAAGCTAACGGAAACATGTTTTAGTTCAAATAAATTCTAAAAATATGAGCAGGAATACATGTTGATTATGACTTCCCTGATTACTTGTCTATTTTGTTTCCATACATTTTTCTCTCCAAATGTATTTTTACTATAAAATAATAAAACTTCATTATAGAATATTTTGGGAAAATATTACTCAGAGTACTACCACTTTCAACAGTAATTCTGCTATTTTGGCAAGCCCATTGATTTTCTAAATTTTCTTCCCCTAAGGGGAAATCATGAGGCAGTTATAGTTTTATGTTTTTATCTCTTCACTATACAAACCATTTCATTTTCAAGTTGTTATAGTTTTCCTAAATGCTATTTTTAGCAGCTATATTATATTCTACTGAGTAAATATCTTACAATTCACTTTACTATATTTACTTATATAGTAAATATATATATATATATATATACACACTTATATAGTAAATATATATATATATATATATACTTATTTACTATAAGCTAGTTTACTCAGTAAAGGATTTGAGGTGGATCCATTACCAGTCTTTTATAAAGAGAAGCTGAATCTTTGCTCTGACACTGCAACAGTCTTAGGCACATAACTTAACCTACATTTGGGTTGTTTTATTATGATTGATTCCAAGAAGTAAGATATTCTATCAGAGAAGATAATAACTCTATCAAATTACTTTTTAGACAAATTGTATCAATTTGCAAAGTCAATAGCAATATACAAGTCTCMGTTTAACTGTGCCCTCACCTGCCCTGGTTATTATTAGTATTTAAGAGAAAGGAGGTAGAGAGAACTGTAGATGTCAACAATATTATGTTGTCAAATCAGAAGTCAGTCAAATTGTTAAGTCTTAGTTAGATATCACTTTCTTGTTTTTTGKTTTTTTTTTTTAATGTTGCTGGGGATCCAACACAGGCCTCACCACATATGCTAGGCAAAYACTCTACCACTAAGCTACATTCCCCCTGCCCTTGCCTCCCTATTTTTTATGTGCTAACGAATTTTTCCAGTCTTTACACATTTTTTTTTAAACCACTAAGTCATACATTTTGCTGAGAGTATATAGCTATTGGTGAGTGGTCTCTATCTGTCAATGTACTCATCATACATGTATGTGTACTTCTTCGATGTGCTATTCACAACATATGTACTTGCACCTATCCATTTATGAGCTGATATATGTTTTCATATCTTTTTGTAAAAATGTCTGTTAATATAAAAAATGTAAGGGAGGAGGAGGGGGAACAAGCCAATCTTGATATGTGATGATTATGTGTATATATGATGTTTATTATTTTTTATCAGGGTCTCCATTTTTATCTTAGAAATATAAATGATATAAAAATACTTTTGTCATAATTACCTCTCAATCAGCCCTGCCTATAGTTTTTCTTTTTTCTTTTGGGCGGGGGGGTGAGGGCAGGGTTGGGGAATGCACCCAGGGCCTCAAACATGATAGATAAACACTCTTACTGTTGAGCTACATTCCCAGTCCTTCTAAAACAATGTTGTCAAATTTATTGTATTTGCTTCCTCTGTCTTTAGGATGAGACAGATCCCTCATCTAGATCAAGATCATTAGTTTTGGGATTGGGGTTGTGGCTCAGTAGTAGAGCGGTTGCTTGGCATGTGTGGGGGCACTGGGTTTGATCCTCAGTGCCATTTAAAAATAAATAAATATAATAAAGGTTTTGTGTCAATCTACAACCTAAAAAAGATTTTTTTTAAGTGTTCATTAGTATCCCAAATAATGAATAGTAGAGAACTAATGATGAGGCCTTCTCAGCAAAGGTCAATCTATGATCTTGGCCAGCTCTAGAATTAACTTGGGTACAGTGACAAGGTGTAGTGTGGAGGTTCCACTTCATGCTCAGGTCAGCTGGAAATCTAAATGATTTTATACCCAGCAAGCAAAAAACAGAATTGGCATGAGCTCCAGACTGGACTATAGATGAGACCCAAGGTGGGCTATTGGTATACCCTGTCCATCGAGCAGATCCTTTGGGCCTGTGGCCAACTGCTTTGGATTCTAATTCACAGTTAGTTCCCCACTTTCAGCCAACACATTCTGACAGGCCCAGATTCTCCAGACTAGATGCTTCTTCATATAAGGCATGTGGCTACGTCTCAGTGCAATTACACATATCCTGGGGGTTCTAGAATATCATATCAAACCAGTGAGAAATGGTGAGCCTTTTTCTTTAACTTCAGAATACACTAATGCACAGAAGCTGGATAATCTGAGTTTTAATGTTAGGTATCAAGACAGTAAATGTCTGAAACGATGAAGGACCAACACACACCTGATTCCGAAGAGGCTGCTGTTGTGATGGCCGATCCCTGTGTGTGTGGCTCTCTCGAGTTATTGCAGATGCACCAGAATCTACATGAACTGATCCTACTGGAGTAGGCTAGAAAATGAAATAAAAGTCAAGTGGGATAAACAAGGCTACTTGATGTCTCTGCAAAGGACAGCATAGCATCGTTCTAATTCTCATGGAGTAATTAATTCTTTTCAGCTATCAGGAGAAATTTCAAGGAATCTTGCCTTCTTAGTTTGCTAATCTATAAAAGGTGGTAGTCTGGACCTCAATAGTTCACTGGGGAGTAGATTACCTTTGAAAGTAAAAAAAAAAAAAAAAAAAAAATCCTATGGTAGTATCTGTTAGCATACTTTCAGGACCTGTGGAGCTTTGGCCAGAAAAGCAAATCAAAAAGTTTATTATGGTGCTGGGTTCCATGCCTACAGAAGCCAGGTACCAGATCAGCATATATAGTGTCAGCTTCTGAATCATTCAATGAAAACTCTAAAAAATCTGGCTTAAATTCTAAAATATTTCAGGATATACAAGTTATAATCTTAAAAATGTATAACTTCTGCTTCCTATCTTCAGTGAAAGCAACCTATGGCATCATCCTGAAAAGGCTGGAACATGCAAAGTCTAAAATCAAAAGACATTTTCCCCCCTGCAAGGATTTAAGCAAAAAGACTGGAAAATAAATGAGTGGGGGCAATGTGGGTGTAAGAAAGAAGGTGATACAATAAAAAAGATGATACTCACAATAGGCCTCCCAACCCAGTCATAGGCATAGTCAAAGGTGTAGCCTTTCCTTTCGAAGAGGTCTGTGAAAAGGGTCCGTAAATACTCATAATCAGGTTTTTCAAAGAAATCTAATCGCCTGACATATCGAAGGTAGGTTGCCATCTCCTCTGTTAGGAAAGAAGTGAAAGGCCATACTCATTAGCTGACACTTCCCAGGGGGCTAAGCTCTGGGCCACACAGGGGTACACTAGTATTTTCTTTATGAACCAAATAAAAGTGATAATCCCCAGTCTGAATAAAAATGAAAGAAAATGCCAAATGCACCCTTTAGATACAGATACCAAGTAAGGAATCTACCTCCTTAAAGTGTCAAGCCATACTGGTTGGAGAATCTTTTTAGTATCCTACCTGGAAAGTTCTCACAGAGAGCTTCAATGGGAGTATTCCTTTTGGTGTCACCAATTTTTTGATATCTTTCTTTTAATGTATCAGCCTGTGGAAATTAAAGAAAAAAAATTACCTGGAAAGAGCTGGTAGTTATGAGAGGTTTGATATGTTTTCAGACTCAATGACTGTTTTACTCAAGTTGGCAGGATTTGTCACTCAATCCCAATTTTATTTCCTCTCTAATACTAACAAAAAGAAATATAATAGAGATGGTATATTTAGGTATGTACTAACATCTGATGGATTCTGGGAAGTTTTCCTTGCAGATATATTTAATAGTCTCAAATAAACATTATTAAATGTGATGAGATGAACAGCTAGGATAAGAAAGCAAAACACTGTGGCAATATTTTCAAAACTATAGCAGTTTAGTAATCTCCTAGGCCACTAGAGTTCAACAGTGATTCAGCCTTCTCCCTCTTATATCAGCTCTATATAAGATTGAAAGTAYTGCCTAATCCAAGTGGGGGAAACAGTTTCATTACATATGTTAAGAAGTTGAAGAGAAAAAAAGTGCTTAAGAAAAAATGCTTTTCAATAATGTGCTTCATTAGTAAAAAAAAGTTACCTATGGTATAGGCTTGGCTAATAGTCAATTTGAGTACATTCGTGGCTCAAAGTAGCTGAAGTCTTATATGCTTAGGACTAGACAAAGTACTTATGGATCTTGGACCAACAATGAACTCTTAAGGGATTCTCATCAGGCTCTATCTAGCCTGCTGCACCCAAATTTAAGCCACAATGATATAAAGTAAATTGGAAAGATTTTAAATCTACCACTATCACTATAAAATGATTCATGGGCCATGAGAGCATTTCAAACAATTAATAATATTGTTCACTAATGTACTATTTGGCTATATGATGAGCAAGTAGGATTTATAACTATTTGAAAGCTGTCARTATTAGTGAGAAGATAGGTATGAATAGGAAAAGACCATAGATGAGCTATCAGGGGAGAAAATTAAGCACAAAAAAACTAAAATATTCTTAAACATGAAGGGTACTTACTTTCTACAGTGCAAAACGAATCATTCTGCCCTTCTGGCTATTGATTTTCTTTCCATACTAACATGATCAAAGAAATTACAACTAAAAATATGTGTGACATTCAGGTATCTAAAAGGATTTGAGATGGCTTGCTCACCATTTCCTAGTCTAATAGCCAGAAGCACAGAGTAAACATAATGCTTAGAATTGTATAAATGAATAGTTAATTCTGAAACGTACTTACTCTACTGATCCCTTCTTATGGAAGTCTACTTAWACATGTTTTGCAAGGAATGGCCATTGTCCAAAAAGGTATTTATTCAATAATACACTTGAACAGCAATGCTGAGCCTAGATTTTCATTTCAGTACAGGTGGGTTCTTAGCCTACACAGGATAAGCAAATATCTTCCCGTCCCCCTTAATGGCATCCCCTGCTAGTCTTTCTGGTAAAATGTGTAGCAGCTGCTGTCATCAATTTGTTCCAGAAATTCCCTGACACACTGGGAACATTCCTCCTGCTACATGATGGTAGTGGAGGAGGGATACCAACACAGAGAGAAAAGCAGCACTTATGCCAAGGCTAAGAGGGAATGAGAAAAAAAGATTATGGAGAGCTGAAATATAAAGAAAGATGGATTAAGATGAGAAAAAAATCAAATGTGAACAGAAACAGCTCCTAAAACCCAGGTGGGAATTTACAATGTATACTAATTTAACTAATCCCTGCTCCTCATTTCTGTAGCCATTCTTTCCTTTCGTGTTTCTTAGAGGCATCAAGCCAGAAGCACCTTCTTTAACAACTGCATAGAGACAAAGCCCTCCAATGAACACTTTCAAGGATACCTTGAGTCCTTGCCAGGGTAGGCTGCCTCGAAGGAAATACATGAACATATGGCCTAGGGCTTCCAAATCATCTCGACGGCTTTGCTCTAAAAGGGAAGACAGATCACACATTATGTTTGCAGTTATTAAAGCAGAAAGAGGTTCAAAAGCAAGTAATCCCTTCAGAAACCCTTCTGCTCTGAAAAGGCTTTTACTAATTCTTTGTACATCTAAACCAGAAATAGTATTTAAAACCAAAAGACAACGTGTACTTCCTTTGTCTAGATCTGTTGGCAAGTAGACAGCAAGTAAAAAGAGCAAATCTTCAAGCCCCAATCACTCAACAGTGAGCAACCCACCCCTCACTCAATGCCGTCACCTGCCTGAAAGTGAGATAATTTAAATAAAATGCTATTTCCAGTATATGGGTTACAATTACCCTTTCGTTACCAACAGGGAAAGTGAGCAGCAGATTAAGCAGTTGAAGCTGTTAAAATAGTCCATTCTGGCTAGGCCTGCAAAGACACARGCTGTAGAATGCCTGGCATACATGCTTAGCACTTTTTATTCATCACTAAAATTAACACTTAAAATTCATTTTCATGTAAGCAAACCACTTCTTAGTTCCTATTATATTTGTACCATGTCCCATAACCACCTTAAAAAAGGTTCATTAGTTTTTTGAAGTTCATTAGTCAGATGTCCTCTATGAGAACATAAAACAGAGTGTGGGCATTCTTGGAGCTTAACTAAAACAAGTTGCTGTGTTTTTCTTTGAATTAATTGAGAAGATTGTTTTAAAATGGAACTTCACTTCAGAAAGCTTCTTGTACATTCTTTAGCTGTCTGACTGAATAGTACATGTCTCCATTTCTTATTTGCCAATTATGGTTCATTGCAAACATTTTATGTGTCTGTTTTTCAGAATAAAGTTAAGGGTTTTCTCAAAAGAAATTACAGAAGACTTAAGAGGCTACCTTTATTTTATTTTATTTTTATTTTTTTATAATGCTGGGGATTGAAACCAGCATTGGAGGGAGGCACTGTAACAACTGAGCTATATCCCCAGCCAAAAGGCTACCTTGATGTGGGCTAAGATTTGATTGTAGGGCTTTGTTTTGTGTGCAGAAAGTAAAACTGAAGATTGCCATACAGTCAAGAAAAGCCATCCAAGTAACTCCAGATAGAGAAATGCTGCCTAGAATTATGGGAAATTTGCATGAGAAAGAATGAACAGTACTCTACAGGCAGATGAAGAAAAGATAATTTTCTGTGGTCACTAATGGAAAAAAGAGAAAGTAATGGCTGAGGATACAGCTCAGTGATTGAGGACCTCCTTAGTGAAGCCCTGGATTCAATCCCCAGAACAAAAAGAGAAGAAAAAAGGAGGCATCCTGACAGAGAAATAAATAATACTGAGCTGGTATATATCCTCTGAAATGATCTTAAAAAGGATGAAATAAAATAGCAAGAACATCAGACACTTTTGTCTACACAGCTTGTCTGAAGTTTGGACAAAATATTACATATGATTGAAAACAAAGCAATTATACAAAAAAACAGTGCAACAGAACAGAAAGACAAATGAAAACCAGCAAGAAAACAAAGGGTGAGTTGAAGCCTCCCACAAAGTAGGGCAGAGAAGGAAACACACTCTGCAGTTTCTCACACTGCATCACACCTACATAACCGCCTCTCCCTTTTTATATCCACTTCCTGTAACAAAAATTCCCTTGGTAATGTTTTTTAAAAAAAAGAAAGGAAAAAAGAAAGAAAGAAAGAAAGAAAGA